CAGTGTTTGGCAATAATTGGGGGAAGGAATAATAAAAGTGTTTTTTATTAAAAAAAAATAAATAATAAAAAAAATAAAAATGAAGAAAAATAGTAAAAAGATTTGGGGATTTGTGAAAAAATGGGAGATTGAAGTAGATGCAAGAAAATATTTGAAAAATGAGGCAGGAGAAATCGAATTGAAATCTGAAGCAGACAAAACTGAAGCAGAAACAAAAAACAGAAAGGACAACCTAAATAGTCAGCAATCACCTCATTTGTCTGCTACCTATTAAAATGATAAAATGAAAATACTTAACTGAAGCAAATTTGTTTAAAAAATACATAAAAAGTAATAAAGCTTAAAAATATTTTAAGTGAAGCAAAAATAAATTATTAATAATAAAATAATGAATATAAGTATGAGGGGAGGCAAGAATATTTTAAAAAAATAAAAATTCCCCAAAAAAGCTATATATTAAGCATGCGAATTAGTTATTTGATAGAGGAGAATATTGTGAGGCTATTTAGAAGAATGTCGCGGCCAATTTGTTTTTTATAAAATTAAAAAAAGGTGATGATGCAAAGTGGAGGAGTGGCGAAAAAAAAAGAATTGGACAATAGAAAAATTTTTTGAGTGATTTTTAGAGTTTTAAAGTATTTTAAAGAAGGCAATCTTTTTAAAGAGTCCATCAGCGGGTGATTTAACAAAATTGAAATTTGAAACTTTTTTTTTTTATAAAACTTGACCGAAGCAAAGTTGCTAACCTTTGAAAAATAAAATTATTGGTGGGGGTCTCTTTAGAAATTTTTTTTTTCAAAAAATAAACAAAGAAATAGGCAAGATTTTGATTTAAAAGTTGAAAAAAAAAGAAGAAAATCTGTGAGCGGAAATGTATCCTCTCACCTACCTACAAACATTCTTGATGGGGAAAATATACTAAAATGTTATAGAATGGCCGTGAGTTTTTGAGAGAGAAAGGGACAATGAATAAAGAGACCAAGGGCGAAATGGACAAGTGGCCCTCCCTCCCCCCTCCCTTTTCATTTTCCTACTCTCGCCCTTCCTTTTGCACGTTTTAACCCTTTTTTATTTTTATTTGTTATTGCTCCGCCCAGTGCCGTTGGAGTCGGAGAAAAATTAAAAGTCCAGACTTTAATAAACAAAATTTTATAATAAAGGAGAGGAAAGGCACGAACATTATTAAGCCTTTCATTGAGCTATGTAAAGCTAGTAATGAGGGAAATGTCCAGTAATGAGGGAAAGGTACAGGCAAGAGTGTCTTTAATGTGACATCGTGAGGATTTGTAATTATTAATGCCTTATAAAATAAAAAAATAGGAGGAACAAAATACAAAAATAATAAATATATGGCGAGGAGTATGTATATGTTCAGGAAAATGAAGAAAGAAACAATTTTTTTATTAAATAAAAAAAATTTAAAGATTAATAAGATGATATGTAGGTCTAAAAATTAATTTAATTAAACAAAAAAATTAATTAACGAGTTAATTAAAAAAGTTAAAAAGGCAATAAACCTAAATTCGAAATTTTGGTAATATTTTTTTATTAAAAGGATTTTTAACGATTGTAATAAAAATTTTTAAAAATATTTTTATGAAGGTCAAAAATCATTTATGAGCTTCTAATATATTTATACTCCTATTTATGGAAGAAAATATAAAATTAGAGATTGAATAGAGACGAGAACTCGTTGAACGTTCAAAAAGCTCGTGAATAGGGTTGTCGGTTATGGACCGAACAGAAGAACCAATAATTTTCGGTTCGGTTTCGGATATCCAAAGAATTTCAAGGAACCGACAACCCTACTCGTTAACGTTCAAAAAGCTCATATTAATTCGATTAGCATCTTACGACAGAATAAATAATAGAAAAAAAGAAAGAGAAGTCGCGCGCGATTTTGTCACCTCCTTTTTCAATGTTTTTTGTGTTCAAGACGCAAAGCGATTTTTATGTAACCACACTATTATCAAATTTCCAAAAAATATTTTTAGGGAAAATATTTGAATAAATTTATTTAAGAAAGTCAATAAAATATTTATTTTCCAGAACAGTCTTGAGGAATAAATAATTAAAAGAAAAATGTTATATGTATATTATTGACAAACCTAGAAAAATAATTTATGAAAATAGGGAATGGATTGAAAATGAGAAACGGGCAATTAAAAATATTTAAATGTTTGTTTTAGAAGAGGGGGGAGGTTATATAATTTAGTAGTAACTCAACTGGAACTAAATTCGACTGCCTGAGGATAGGGGAAAGAAGAATGTATTAAAAATATTTTTTGATGAGAAAAAAAAGTAAATGAAGTGAAAAGGATTGAAAATGATGAGGAGAATTTAAAAATACAAAACAAAAATTTTATTTAAAATTTTAAAAATGTTTTTTGGTTAGATGCTATGCTTGAATAAAAATTTGTGTGTTCGTCTTGCGACAGAGAAGACAACTAAAAAAGAGGAGGGAAAAGTTAATGAGCGATTCTTTTTCAATGATATTTTCTGTCGCAAGACGCAAAGCGAGGTTAAAGAGAATTTTTATTTTTTTGATTTAAAAAATTGGGATGGGAAAATTAATTAATTTAAAGTTTTTTAAATAAATTGAAAATGAATTTTTTATTTTAATTTTTTATTTTTGTCTTCCTGCGAGATCAGTATCCGTGACCAGGTCTGGATCTACCAATTTAGAGTACTTCAGAAAATTTTGATTTCTCACGTTCAGAAAAAAATTTTTTCAAAAATCAAAAAAAAAAGATTTATTAAAAAAACTTTTATTAGAATCAAATTTTCAAGCTTAATAAATTAATAAAAAATTAATAATTAATAAATTAATAATTAACAAAAATAATAAATTTAAAAAAATTAGAGATCCAACAAAGAAAATTTAAAAAATAAGAGAATGTACTATATGTACATATAACTGCTTCAATAAAAATCAGAAAATTTAATTAAAGAAAATCGCCACTTAAGTTCTGAAAAAAGAAGAATAGAGAAGATTTTCTTCCCTTCTTCTTCCCTCTTTCCTCACGCAAATTTAATAATTAAAAAAATCTAAATTAAAAAATTCTTTTGATGCCGTAAACGATCAAAGAAGTCTCTCCCTCCCTCCTTTATCTCCTTCTTAAACCAGTCACTCTCTTTTAGAACGATGACAACAAAAATATTAAATATTTAATTTTGGTTTTGAATGAAAAATGAAGAGGGGAAAAGATTGGTTTTTATTAAAAAAAAGGAGAAAAGCTAATTGCACAGGCGTGTAGTGTGACAAAATAATAAATTTATATAAAGGGAAAATGAATATATTTATTTGTGGGGAGACAAAGTGTTTTGGCGGAGTAATGTGAAGAGAGTGGGGAAGAAGAGAAGGATCTTGACACTGACAGACTGACCATTAAAAAATAATTTTTAGGAAAAAATTTTAATAAAAAAAAATATAAAAAAAATTCGATTTGGACAGTCTTTGCATTTTTATGTGTGTTTGCTACACAAGTTCATTAAAGGGCAATTTATATTGTAGTGCAGTAGGCGGCGTGGTGTAATGGCTAACACATCAGTCCGGTCTACTGAAGATGCTGGTTTGCTCCCAGTCGCTAGCTGAAGAAGAGCAGCTGCTTTACTATATTATTCCATATTTTAACTGATAAATCTTATAGTAGAAAAGATAAATCCCTAAAAATGAAAATTTTTTTGAAAATTTTTTTAGTTCTCGATGAGATTCTTACTTCAGAGATCTCCAGAAAAATAGTCATTAGATTGATTTAGAAAAATAATTTTATTTTAATTTTAAATTTATTTCATAGAGAAATTTTATGAAAAAAAATTTGGAAAAAATTGAGGAAAAACAATCGAAAATCAAAGTTTTTTACCTCATCTTTGTTCTCAATTTCCTTAGGGTTTTTATTCTTTTTTATTTTGCTGTTAAACATTTTTTTCTGTTCAATAATTTGTCCTAAAAGTTTTTTATTTAAAAAATGAACGGAAATGGAAAATAATTTTTAAAAATGTTATAAATCTTTAAAACTTGGTTTTAAATGAAAAATTAGTTTGAGAATTGTCTCCTCGTATTAAAAAATTAAATGAAATGGGGAGAATATATTTAAACATTTTTGAACAAAAACATTGTTTTGTATCTTCTACATATGCACTAATAATTATTTAAAATTTTCCAAAATTGGAACTAAACAAAGGGATTTATTTTAGATTTTTTGAGGATCGTTTTTGATTTTTTTTTTCTCCCAGAAAACAAAATTATTGGAGATCTAATACAAGGTTGTTAACTACTCAATTATCCGCTACTGAGTAATCCATTCCACTTTTACCGTAAATAATGTCCCTCTCTCAAATAATCACCCCCTTCCTATTAATTACCCCCTCCAACGAGAGATTGAAACAATAATTAAATGATAGAAGGAAACTTTTTCGGCACCAATATACAAAAAAAAGTAAAAAAAATTTTTTTTAACAAAATTTACTAAACAAAATCAACAAATGTTTGGAGAGAAATAACAACAACAATATACATTTATTTATTTACTACAGAAAAACATTATTTATCCAAACAAACATCCTTATTTAAACATCTACAACATCCATTTTAACAAATGTTGAGAGAGAGAGAGAGAATTCTTCAATTGTAAATATCGTCGGCCGCTTCTGATAAATTTTAAAAATTTTTTCAAATTTAAATATATTTTTGTTTTTACCTTTTTTATTACCGCCTTTGTCCGCTCCCTTTTGCTGTTGTTTTTTATCGGGCTTGCCAACTAAAATTATTGAAAAATGGTCAGTAATTAAGAATTAGGGTAATTCACCGCAAGGACAATTCACCGAAAGGACAATTCACCGAAAGGACAATTTACCGAAAGGATAATTTACCGAAAGGACAATTCACCGAAATTTGCTTTAGAGAGAGGGGGAAGAACAACTAGAGAGGGGGAGTTAGTCGATTTGAGAGTGTTTGGCACCTCTTCTGAGATATAGTTCTCTAAACAAAATTGTCCTTTCTACAAAAACCCAAAAGCACCTGGTACTTCCACAATATCCTCGTAAGTCCCAGGCACCACAACCCCAGCTGCCAATGCCAAGTCTTTATTAACTGGAAGTTCGTCGCCAGCATTTTTCTTTGGCTTCTTTGATTTGGACTTCTTTTTCACGCTTTTCGGTTTTTGATTTTGTGGCGCTTTAGTTTGTTGAGGTGTGCTGCGTTTTTGCGAGGAAACACGTTTTGGCGGCTCAGAAAAAGTCTCTACTTGTATTTCTTCAACGATGATCACTTCATGTGGCGACATCTTCTTCTAAAAAATTTTGGGATTTATTCGAAAAGATTTTTTAATTTCACCTTTCGACGGCAATAACAGCAGTAAATAATACTAAGAAGGACCAACGCAACAATCAAAACCCCACCAATGATAATCAAATCCGTTTGTGAGAGAGGAACATCCGGAAATACAGTTGCGTCCATTGCACTTTTTGTAGACGACATTAGAAATTATAAGTTCGGGCGTTGCGATTGTAGACGATGTTTTGATTGAAAACTTTCTCTGGGTTTTTATAGTAGAGACTTTAGGGGTTTAAATACGTCAAAATTCATGGAGAATTATTTCACTGGTCATTGAAACTATTTAACGCCTAAAATTCTTTTCTTGATCCTTTTTGAGGTTTCTTAAATGAAAATAGACCAAATTAGAAATTTTATTTAGAAAAAAGCTAAATGAGCGAATATAGTAGGTAAAAATACATATCTTTTAAAAGTAAGCTGAAACGTCCATTTTTGCTTGACACTCTAATCTAGGCACCATAACGTCCTGAAACTATATTTTTTATTTTTTTCAATTTTCCCCCAAGGTTAAAAAATTTTTCTAACCTAACTTTTTGTATTTGGAATAAAAGGAGATTTTAATAAAATATTTTTGAAATTGAAAAAAGGATAAAAAAATAATTTAAAGTTTAATTGAAGTTTAATTAATTGTCAAGTTTAATTAATTGTCTACCCACAAAAATGTGCCTAATATGTTTTTTACAATAATTATTTTTATTATTTTGTTTTGGTCTACCATATATTTTTTGGATCTTTATTTTCGTCATTCAAAGTCTTCAAGGTTAAATTTTATAAAAAAATTTTTGAAAAATTTTTTTAAAGATATATAAAATTATTGAGACATTATGGCCTGTCTTTTGCTCCTTTTCAAGTTTTTTTCTTAATTTTTTTTTAAATTTAATTTTCTCAAAAATTCAGTTTCGCCTTTATTTTACTCAATTAGAGCACCATTCTTCTCCATATTTTTTACAAGAATTTGTCGAAAAAATTTTGTCGAGTCCAAAAAGAACGAAATTAATTGTAATTTACCTTTGCGGTACTTTTGAGTCAGCTCATACCAGTATTTGCGGACATATTCATGCGGACTCATTATAGAATGGTCAGGCTTCCTTCATTATTTTCACTCTATTTTCCAGTGGTATTATTCAATGCGAGGCATTTAAGAAAAAATTATTTTTTCTTTCCATTGCCACCAAATTTGTGTCAAGCTAACTCGCGGAACGGACAAGTCGAGGAATTACCCCAAATCACAGAACGACCAAAACACGGAATATTTTAAAAATTAGATTTTAAAGATCAGAATTGTTTTAAAAATCAGAATTCTTAAAAATCAGAAAAATTCTGATTTTTAAAACAATTCTGATCCTTAAAATTTAATTTTTAAAATATTCCGTATTTTGTTAATTCCGTGCTTTGTCGTTCCTCGACTTGTCTGTTCCGTGAGTTGGAATTCCTCGACCCACCAAATTAGTCTAATTATGATTCCGCAAATACGTGCGCAAGAACTGGTATGAGATAACACGCAAGTACCACATTTTTAATTAAAAATTTAAATTTTTTTCTTAAAATTCCCAGGCTTTATGGTTCACAATTGGAGCTTTTATTTCACTCATTTTTTATGTGACTACACCTATTTATTTGCTACATTTATTACTTTCCGAATTCTCTTCAACTTTTTTGTCTGAAAAACAAAATTCAACGCCAAAAAGTGAGACAGTTCAACCAAGTTATACTTTGAGGCTTTTACATGCTCCGATTTTTCTTCCACTTCATGAACATATCAATGGTTTATTTTTTTTATTAAAATTTTATCTAAAATTTTCGATTGTTGGTCGATGATTAACATGATTTTTTGTTATTGTTGGGCCAATAGTTGTGGCTTTTCCTTGAGTTTTTTAAAGATTTTTTCGTTTCCTTGTCTCACAATCAAGTTTTTATCAGAAATTTTAAGGCCTAATCTATTCAGTAAAATTTTTGAAACAATCTTCTGATTTGTATTAGAATCGGGGAAATGCTGTGATTGCTGGGTCCACACTTGCAATCTCCTATATTTTTACCTTCCGGAATTGCTCCATTAAGATTCCGTACCTCTGCGGGATCCTGCAATTCTCTTATTTAATTTATTTGTTTAATTTTTATTATTTTTTATTTAGCTGGAATTACTCCCGTCCTTCCTGGCCTTAATCTTCCACTTTCCCATATGCCCATTTTTGTTGCTGTTTTAATTATTGCAAGTATTTTACATGAAGCTGGACATGCAATAGCTGCAGCAAGTTCAAATGTAAGGGTTACTGGACTTGGATTTTTTGTTTTTGCTATTTATCCGGGTGCTTTTACTGAAGTAGAACCGACAGAATTGGGTAAAATAAATTTTTAAATAAATTTTAGAATTAAAAAATCTTTAAAGATCGCTGTTCCTGTGCTCAAAAATTGCGAATTTATGGTGCTGGAGTGTGGCATAATATTATCCTTGCCTTTTTTGGATTCTTTTTGCTTTTACTAATTCCTGTGATATTCAAACCTTTTTATTCTAACAATGCGGGTGTTGTTGTGACAGGTTTCTAATTTTTATAAGAATTATTTTTTTAATTAAAAAATGTTAAAATGACCAAATATCATTTTTAAAGAAAATGGATAAAAAAAGAGGGGCGGGGCTTATGGGAGGGAAACTACACAAATAGCCATTTTGTCAATTCCCCTTTTGTAAATTCTTAAGTAGTCTGTTTCTAAGATTTTTAAAGCATTTAAAAAACTGATTTTTTCTCATCCAAAAAATAGGTATATCTCCACGTTCTGGTCTTTACGGTCAAACAGGCCTTCAACTTGGGCATCAAATTCTTCGTGTCAACCAATGTAAGGTACGCAACTCTGAAGACTGGTTTGATTGTTTAAGTGGTAAAATCAGTACAAATCATTCAATTGGATTTTTGGCTCAATATCGTGCAGTTTCGAGAATGACAGCTTCAGAAGATAAAGTTGCCCGTTCAGAAGGGGAAGTTCAATGCTGCTCTGAATTTAATGTTACCAACACTACACATATATGTTTTCGATATTTATCGCCTATTAAAAAAAGCACAACGCAACCACCAACAGTTCAAAAGCCAATATTTCCTGAATTTCCAGATTTTGAGGCTGAATTTGGTGTTCAAAAACGTCAAAAAAGGGCAACAGATTTAAAAACGGTAAAGGAATTTTTTCTGATTTTTAAATTAAAATAATTTATTTTTAAGCGTTTGCTTTCTTTAAATGAAGCTACAACTCGTCAACCTAATATAAATGTGAAGGATGACCCTCTTACTTCAATAGATTATTCACATGCTTGTCTTCCTGCAATGCAAGGTATGAATTTTTTGTAGAATTAAACAACCTCTTTTAAATATTTCTAATATTAATCCTTGTTTTTCAAACAGTCACTGAACATGCACAATGCCAAATTTCAAGTAGAAGTTCAAAGCCTTTTTCGGTAAGCATGACAATCGAACCTTGATTTTAGATATCTTACTGAAAGATGGTATATATAATGATCGGTTGGCCCCCCAAAAATGAATTAAAATTGAAAGTACCTCTTTTTGTTGGTATCTAAAATCAAGGTCCAACTATATTTTTGTTTAACTTTTTATTATTTTTTAATTAATTTTTTTCCTTTTAGATTTTGCCTTATGGTTATGTTTGTGTTGTCCCTGCACTTTACAATGACACAATTCTTTTGCGTTTTCAAGTTAAAGATCAACGGAAGCCTGTACTATTTATTGGTTACCTCAGCGAGGTTTTTTTATTTTTTAATATTTTCAAAAATTTATTTCCTTAGCCTCTTTATTTGGTTGGCATTTCTGATTTAACGCCTCGTTTTGGTATTTTTTTATTTTTTAAAAATTATTATTTTTTGATTTTAAGCTTTTGTGCCTTGGTGGATTCCTCGAATTTTTGAGCTTTTTTCAAGTTATTTAATTACCTTTTCTTTGGCTATGGGCGTTCTAAATGCCGTTCCATGTTATGGACTTGATGGCCAATTTATTAGCAATACTGTTGTTAACTATTTTTTTCAAAATTTTTCTGCAAGGTTTAATAAATTATTTAAAAATTTTTAAAAATTATTTTTTTAAGTTTACGTAGACAAATTGAAAAATTAATAACATTTTGTGGAACTTTTATTCTTTGCTCAAATATTTTGTTTGGTCTCGTTAAATCAATGGCTTATTGAAGAATTTGAATTTAAAATGGAAAAGATGAATGTTTTTTGTTATTTCTCCTTTATTGTAACGGGCCTTAATCGCAATTTTTTATTTTTGTGCTTCGGTGACCGATGGATATTTGTCTTTTTGAAAAAGGATGAAATGGACGAAGCAACAAACATTTAGTCATTTTGCGGTTAAGTGGCCCGTGATCAATAATAGAGTTTGTTTGCCATTAAGGCGCCTCTAAATTTTAAAAACATTTTTTATTAATGTTTTACTACATTCCTTCCATACAAAATTTATGTAAACGTTATTTCTCTTAATTCTCTATTAAATTATTTATTTTGAAATGATTCTCATTCTCTAAACTTTTCATTTTTTCCCGTTACTCAAATTGGCTATTTCGATAATAAAAATTTTTAACAAAAATGTTTAATTAATTTTTAATGATTTTATTTATCAAATAATTTTTTTAAACTTTTTAATTCATTTTCTAATCAATTTTTAGCCAATTATTCTTTTGGCTGTTTAAATAATATTTTATTGCGAGACGCTTCTGACAAATTAAAAATGGAATCTAATGGAGTTAATTTAAATTCTGGTAGTCAACATTGTGCTACTACTAATGGTGGAAGTGACAGTTTTGGTAAAAGGTTAGAAATTTACTGATATATTTGTTGTCCGAAAGTTTTTTTGAGTTATTAATTTAGTGGAAAATATTTTTGATGAAATTTTGTAGAACTATATGAAATCTTTTGATATTAGAAATTTTTTTAAATAATTCAAACTTTATTTTTTACCTTTAAGTTTTTCAACTGATCACCCTAAAAATTCATTGACTGAGCCTGCTTGTGTTGAGCATGTTGTTCAATATAAAGAAAATTCTAACGAGGTTTGCAATTTTCATGTTAGTATAGGGATTATCCTAAGTTTACTTGGGTTGGAAATTTCTCCTGTTCAGTTGTCAATTTTTAATTTTTTACCTATCCCCTGAGATACTGGAGCATCCTCCTAAAGTGGGTGAAAATGAAAAAAATTGAGAGAAATTCTCAAGAAAGTGAATTTTTTGCCTGCAACCACAAGATTAAAAAATTTCGTATATGATTTAAAAAGGAATTGCCCTGGGTTTAGAAAAGTAGGGGGTAATTCTTCGGTTGTCGCCCCCCCTTTTTATGTTCCCCTGACCATTTTGAGCTTTTTTGCTTGACATATAATTTATTATATATCATTAGAAAGAGCTATCCGAGCTGGGTAGATTGATACTAAGATCGGTTAGATTCGGCGATTTTGAACAAAATTATGAGGCTAAATCCTCTGTGGACATGCCTTTTGTGATGTTGAAAGGGATTAAAACAAATGCTCATAACTATGTTTATTTAAGTCGGATTTTGATGAATTTAGTACCGTTCGACTCAGCTCGAAGAGCTCTTTCGATTGTATATAAAAATCTATAGAAATTTTATAGGAAATGAAAAAAATAGAACATAAAAAAAGGGGGGGGGGCGACAACCGAAGAATTACCAAGTAGGGTATTAATTAAAAGATATCCACAATTAAAACTCATCTTTACACACAAAAACAAAATAAATTCTATTTAGGAAGATTATCAGAATGGTGAAAAATTGAAAAATAAAGTTCCTTCTTCTTTTGGAAATTTTTGTGAAGCTTCTCTTGACAAAGCTTCTTCAACTAATATTTTTTTTATGGCCAAAAATTCTTTTGCTTTGACTGAAAATAATTGTGTTGACAAGGTTGTATACCTATTTTGAATTAATAATTTTTGAATTAATACTTAGGGATGTCTTATATTTACGGGGTTTCTTTCGGATGATTTCTCTATTCTACGAGTAACCAAATTTTAGCTAACAATAATCCTTTAAAGCATTAATCGTTTATTGAATCGGGAATGTATGGGGTTATTAATTTAGAAATTGTCCGATTTATTTCCATTTAAAATATTACTCCTCATACACACTAAAACAAAATTCTATTTAGGAAAGTCATCAAAATGGTGAAAAATTGAAAAAGAGAACTCCAGTCTCATTTAAAAAATTCTGTGGACCTTCTCGTTCCTTGGTTCGTGCTACTTCAACTGATGATATCTCTCACATGACGATAGTTGATTTGTTTGGAATTTTTAAGAACAATGTCTCTTTACAACCACTTTTAGCTTATTTCAAAAATATTTATAATATTCAGGTTTGTTATTTTTTTCTAGCAAAACAGTCTTGATGATAGTCTTGATGATTTGTACATATGAACCAGAAATGTCACGGGTGACAGATTTTTTCAGATTGTCGTTAATCTTGTCAAAATCTAGATTCGGAAAAAAATCGGGTAGGATTTCCGAACAAAAATTAACCGGGTATCGGATTTTGGAAACCCATGATATCCCTGACAAGGGCGTAGCCAGGGGGTCGATTTCGGGGGGGGGGGCTAACACTGGGTGGGCGCCAATTTTTTGGCGTTTACCTTGGCGTTCCGGACGCAAATTTTTTTGTTCATAAATTTTCATCTTTTCTGCGCCGCAGGCGAAAATTTTTTGAATTTTAGAAGGCCGTAGGCCAAAAAAATTCACTTTTTTTAGCGCCGCAGGCGAAAATTTTTTGAATTCTGGAGCTCAAAAGGCCAGATTTCTTCCTTTTTCAGCGCCGCAGGCGAAAATTTTTTAAAATTCGAAGGCCGTAGGCCAAAAAAATTCACTTTTTTCCCCAACGCCTTCCCCAAATTTTTCCCTTTTCCCCATTTCGGGGGGGGGGGGGCTTTAGCCCCAGAAGCCCCCCCCCTTGGCTACGCCCTTGATCCCTGATATGTACCTCGAAGAATCGGGTTATTCCCTAAATATAAGCAACCCATATGACAAGCATTTTTTGAATAAAAAATCGAATTTAGATTTTCGATTTTAACAAGATTTATGATTAAATGAAAAATTTTCTTTCTGTCTTGGGGTTTCTAACAACACTAATTTATTTTTTAATTAAAAATTATTTTATTTTGTAGTCAAACAACTTGATGGCCAAGAGTTGTGCTCTTCAAAAATACAATCTACAACTTTTTGATGGTTTTGGTGTAATTCAGGAACTTCAATTCTTTCTTTATTTACTGGATGTGCATGAACAAATATATTCTAATGGAGGAAATAATAAGGATTACAAAAAGTTTGTCGTTCTCGATGTGAAATCTTTTCAAAATATAGAGGCTTTGGCGATTTATTTAGACGAAGTTGACTGTAATTTTGAGGTTTGTCTGGTTTAATTTTTTATATCTTGGACTTAGATTTTCGACTAAATTACGCGTTTTATCTGGTCAATCGACCATAAGGGTATGTCAAAAGTATAGACTTAAGTAAACTGCGCCAAGCGTTCCGAACTCTAATATTTGCGCGCTTATTCTTTTCTGGAATTTTGAGAATTTGTTATGTCCGCAATTGAAAGTTTATTTTCATTTTTGTTCAATCCTCTCCTAATTCTTGTCCTTATCTCAATTCAAGGAGCTAGATGCTACTAGCATGCCAATGTCAAACAATTTAAAAATTATTTTTAGATCAGATACCCAAACATTTTTGAAATTGGAGGTGGTTATGTTAGTGGCGTTGAATTTATTGCCAAACTTTCAAGTATTCTCAGAAACGCCTACAAAAACCGACAAAATATTTCCACTTCTTTTGATGTTTGGATTTGTAAATGGTAACTTTTAAATGATTTTAATTAGACGATAGCGTCAGATATTTAAAAAAATTTTTAGAGCTCTAACACAGAATAGGGTAAATGCGCAAATATTTGACTATAAGGTCAACTTACAGGGGTATTTACGGCGTAAATGTGATTGAACGCATAAAATTTTGTTTGAATACAAACATTTTATTGGACGCATGAGAATGTGATTGGACGCGTAAAGGTGAGATGGACGCGGAATCTGGACAAGAGCCCAATTGTATATGATTAGAGTCTGCGAGTCGATGTTATCCTGTCTCCAGCTTAAATAGATTTGCCAACAAGCCTTGAATTTCGTCCAAAAATTTTATTTTGAATTAAAAAAACTTTAAAATTAAAATTTTGAATTAAATTTCTTTTTTGTTTAATTAACAAATTGTCTTTACGCCAAATCAAAAATCTCGAATAATGTTTTTATAAAATTATTGACTCCTATTCTTAGAAAAGTGTTTAGGTGGAAATTGTGTCAAAAATAGGATTAGTGTTAAAGAAAAAATAATTATTTTGCCAAGGAATATCTTTGAATTATTTTTCAAAATTTTATATACTGTAGGAATCAAATAGTGTGCGTATATAAAGAAAAATAATTTTAGTTTTTGTTTAGTTTTACCTAATTCATAGTTTGAGAATTTTTAAAGTTGTTCATCTGTTTACTAAAAATGTTTTTTATTTTATAGCATTCTCAAACTCATTTTCTTGATGCGTCTACGTGATATTGTTGTTGACCTGACAGAAACCGTCCGTAATCAATCGAGAGCTTTAGACCGACAAAGCGAAGCTTTAGACCGACAAAGCGAAGAAATCCAGACTCTACGAACGGAGAATGAGCGTAAGGACGTTGAGATAGCTCGCCTTAGACAATTGTTGCAAGGTGGGTAGTTGCATAAATATATTGATTTTACCGGGCAGTCTAAAGATTTAGGCTTGGGTCCGCACTTAAGTATAATTTATTTTTCAGCGAACAACCAGCCTCAACCGCCGCAACAACAGCTTCAAGTTATTCCAGTTCGACTGCCCCTCGTCAATCTTCCGCAACAGCATCACGCCAATGCGCCGCAACAACAGGCCATTCACGGCATTCCGCCGCAACAGCAGGCCGTTCACAACATTCCGCCGCAACAACAGGCCATTCATTACCCTAATCAAGCCGCTCCGGCCTTTGGACAGCAACAACAGAATCAACAGATTCTGCAACAACAACAATTTCCGCCTTTGCAGGGAGCTGATAACATCAATTTGGATGAGTTATTAAATTTTGACAATTTAGAGCGATGAATATAAAATACTTGTTTTTGACTTAAAATATATATTTATACATATACTTATGTATGTACTATTTAAAAAAATAAATTATTGAAATTTTGTTTTAACAATTTTTTGTATCTAAGGTTGCGTACTTATTGCTGTGTACCTTTTAGCCGCAGGCCTGTTAATCTTTATTTCTTGACTTATGTATTTGCCGTTTGTTGTTTTTTCGAATCTGTTGTCCTCTTACTAATGAAAAACAAATTTTGTATTAAATGTGGAACATTAAATACAGATTTAAAAGGATAGCCACTTTGAAGTTAATCACATTTTTGCTACTTTTTGCTTGTTTTATTTGCTCAACGTTTTTAATTTACAACCAATTGCCATACTCAAAAACGTTTGTAAAATTTATAAATTTGTTGAAATCCTCAAATTTTCAACGTAAAATTGTTTTGTTGATCCCAATCTTTTATAGCCAAAATACAAAATTTGAATGTTATGATCGTTTCCGCCCATTTGTTACTAACGAGGAGAAACGTGTCTTTCAATCAATTCGATTAGAACATGTTCGTTTACTGGAAAAGTTTGAACAGACCTCCGAGAAGTTAGATGCAATAAATAAATTGATTCCAATTAAAGGTTAAAAAATTTTTTGGAAATTCTCCTTAAATTTAATGAACTTTTTTATTTAAGAAGCAGAACTCAGGGAAATTCAAATTTTTATCAAAGAGCTGGATTTATCACGACGTGAATATAGTGATAAACGAAGTGTTCAATTAAAACTGCCTCATTCTCCTCTTGAAGAAAATCGAAGAGAAGAGCCCGAAAAGAAATTTTCAAATTTTAATTTATTTGAAGAAAGCATTGATTTTAGGTTGGAAATTTTTTTTATTAAATTTTTTATTTTTAAAAATTTCAGTCGTTGTTCAATTACTAAAGGATTAAAGATATTTTTATATCCTCTATCAAAAAACAGCTCAAAATTGGCGAAGAGATTTTATTTGGAATTTCAACATCAAAGCGTTCAAAGAATTACTTCAAATCCTGATAATGCCTGTCTATTTATTGCTTTTTTGGATTATGGAAAAAAACTTGAAAAATTAAATTATTTTGGGCTGAATGGAAGAAATCATCTTTTAATTGATTTGAGTCGGGAATTGAGTCCGACTGATGTCCAGGCTTCTATGCTTATTTCTTCCAAAAATTTCAGGAATTTAAGGTTAAGACTTAAATAATTTTTTTATTATTCTATAATGGAAATTTATTAATTACAAAATGTTGGTTAGAATCAATTTAGGGATAGGCCCATCCCTTAAGGCTGACATGAGAGTGAGATCTTTGCTCCCACCCCAGTTTTTAATTTTAATTCTCCCTTGTCTAATTAACCGATGAAAATCTCTGAAAGAAAAATTTTTTTTCAATAATTCCCCTCTTTTAGACACTCTATGGATCTCAACATTTTTATGTCTGTTCCAGATTATGATCCAAATCGTTTGCTTTATTTATCTCCACTTTTGCCTTTATTCAAAAAATATTTTGTTAGCTTCTTGGGAAGGAATACAAAACTTACAAAACAACAAATGACTGATTTTGATGAATTTAAAAAATCATTGGTAAATTAAAAATAATTTTTCAATTTTTTTTTAATTTTTAGGAAATTTCTCAAGATCATGATTTCATTAATTTTAATTGTTCAACGAATAATAAATGTTTTACCAAGGAAGAGCGTCTTGAAATTTATAAACAAAGCACTTTTGCAATAATTATTCCAGATGAGGATTCGTTTCAAGGTTACTTATTTAATTTCTTTAATTGAAACAAGGAGTCTGTTTTTAATTTTATTCTATTTTTTCTAACAATAAACATATTACTTCCTTTTTTCGAAATGAAAAAGTGTAAAAATTAATTTTTTGTTTCATCGATAGCCGAAAATTAATTTTAAAAAATTCACAATTTTGTAAGCCATTAAGTCTAATCGTAAGAGTTTTCTGATAAATCTCTTTCTAGCAAAAATCCAAATTCTTTAAATTTCCATTTTTTAATTTAGAAAATTTTTATGAATCTCTCGAGGCTGGAGCAATCCCAGTAATTTGTTCCCTCCACACAATTTTGCCTTTTGATGAATTTGTTGATTGGAAATTGGCAACAATTAAAATTCCACCTAGTCGCTTTCCTGAATTACATTTTATTTTGCGCTCAATTGCCGTTCAAGATTTGCTAGAAATGAAGAGGAAAGGACGTTTTTTCTTTGAGAATTTATTGGCAGATGTAAGAGGTTAGTTAAGTGAATTAAAATCTGCTTTTAAGAAAGCTAGCCCGAAAGACTTTAAATGCTGGTTTGAACTGAAGGGACTGACTGATTAACGTAAAGAATTAATTTCGTAGCAAATTCGATTTTTGTTGTCATTTAAAGAGTTACCTATTAGCTATTTAAGCTAATTCGAAGTCTTAAACCTGGTTAATAGGGTTCTACCCTAATTTTTAGGGTTTTACCCTAAATGGGGTTCTAACCTAATTTTTTTTCTAGCAAGAAAAGCTCCAAATTTGATTTAAAAATAAATTTTTTTATTAAGTTTTGACACGTTCAATAATTTCTTTAATGCGTTTCCGGCTTCAAATGCCAGATAATGATGAGGCTATTCATTCAAGTATTCCACTCTACAAAACAAAAAATGATTCTATTTGGGACTATCCTTCATTTATTTCAACTGCAACAAAGCCTCCTTATGATGATGAATATTTGGGACCTTCCGAAGTTTGTTTTTTTAGTTTGTAACTTTGAGCAATTTTATATATCTTGGTTAATAAAACGTAGGATTTATGGTCATTGGGCTCGGTATATTTTGAGGGGGATTCCTTTTCTGATCGTCAGAAGATAATTCCTTCCAAAATAAATTTTTTCTGCCTTTTTAAATTATTTTTTTAAACTTCTTCCCTATTTCTGCTTATTTAAAGGAAAAGATAAAAAATTTTTCTTTTATTCCCGGTTAGAGTATGTACAAAATTGAATTTCAAAGAATGCGTTGAGCTTGCCCCTTTTCCGATTTTTTAATTTTTTCAAAAATCAACAAAAATAATCATTTTAAAATTTTTTTCATTTAAATAGATGCCTGTAATGTCACCACAATATGCACATAATTTTACAACTTTTAATTTGGTATAATTTTTTTAATATTTTTTTTAAATTTTAATTTTTTAATACTAATTTAAGCATAACTACAAATTATGGAATGATTTCCCTTTTGCAACTTCAAATTCTCTCAAATTTATGCCCAACGACTTTCCTATGCCTTCTGACTCAGAATTTAATGAAGATGTTAGTTTTGGAATGCGTCCAATATTACCTGGTTCTGGGGTTGAATTTTCAAAAGCAATTGGTGGCAATAAAAGGAGAGAACATTTTACAAGTATATTTTTTTTGAAAATATTTTAGTCAAAAAATTAATCTAAAAAATATTTTTTTCTACCTGCGACCAAGGTTGAATTTTTTTAATTCAATTTTTCCTTTTTTTCTTTTGCGGATTTTTAAATTTTACGGATTTCAAAAATAAAATTATGGTTGCTTTAATTTTTTAGCGCCCTATTGTGGTCACATTCTCCTTTAATGTATATCCCCCCAAAAATTCGTGAAAGTTGTTTATTGTTTCTGGGATACGAATTTAATTTATTTTCATTTTTAGTAATAATAACAACATACAATCGTGAACAAATTTTATCGGTAAGATTTATTCTTCTTTACAATTTCGAATTTTTTTTTGTTTAAAACCTACTTTACAGAACACATTAGAACGTCTTATTGGATTGCCTTACTTAAATAAAGTTATTGTTATATGGAATGATTTTAAAAGATTTCCAACATTGTCTGCATGGCCTAGGTAATTAGAAAATATTTTTTAAAATTTCTCAAAAATTTTTCTTTGAATTTTCAGATTGCGTGTGCCTCTTTTATTCATTAATGGAACAAGAAATTCATTAAATAATCGATTTATTCCGTACAAGGAAATTGAAACGGAAGCAATACTTTCAATTGATGATGACCTTGATTTGAAACAATATGAAATTATTTTTGCTTTTAGGTTTTTTTGAAAGTTTTTAATTAAATTCGTTTTTATATTTTAAGAGTTTGGCGTGAACAAAGGGACCGAATTGTTGGTTTTCCTGCGCGTTATCATGCACGATTTGGCGATACAGTTAATTATGATAGCAATCATACTTGTCAGGTACCAGATTTATTTTTTCTTATAATCAAACTTTTTTGGAGATCATCCCATGGAACCGGTCCAAGCAATTATAATGTGGGGAATGACGTCAATAAGAGGATGCAAATTTTGAACATTCAGAAAAGTAAAGATCCAAAAATCGATTTTTAGTAACTGTAATGAAGCCTTCTATGAAGGGGATTACCCTGTAACTTAAGTAATTTTAAATGAATGTTGGGAGCAAATTAAGAGAAAAACCCAAATTTTAATTCTAAAAGTTCATTCGAAATAGCAACAAATTTTCATCCTAAATGACTTTTTTAATTTTTAGTTTAACATGATTTTGACTGGAGCAGCATTCTTACACATTGTATTAATTAAAGAAATTTCATATCAAATATATCCTTTTGATTTAGTTTTATCTACACGCCTACACTTATCACATGCCTCAAATTATTCGTGATAAAGTGGATGAATGGACAAACTGTGAGGATTTGGCAATGAATTTCCTCGTGTCACACCTTTCCAGAAAACCTCCAATAAAGACCACAAGCAAGTGGACTTTAAGGTTTTTGTGGAAATTTTTAAAAAAATGTTTTAAATTCTAAAAAAATTTTTTTGAAGGTGTCCAACATGCAAAGAAAGTTTGTCAAATAATTTATATTATTTTGATGAGAGGCATAAATGTATTCAATTTTTCATCAAAGTTTATGGCTACAACCCACTTCTTTTCAGTCAGTTCAGGGCAGATTCAGTGCTTTTCAAAACAAGAGTTCCTTCAAATCATCAAAAATGTTTTAGATACGTGTAAAAATTTTTTAAATTAATTTAATCTAATTATTGAAAATTTCATATTTCAATGATAAATAAAAAAGTTTGTATCCTCTGTCGGTGCCCTTTAAACATTAATTTCGATGAAAATTCCAATTCCCTATTTCCAAAATTTTTTATGGGTTATCTTCTTATGGGGTCCAAATTTTGAACCAAAAATTCTTACCTAAAAAATTTAATCGAATAAATTTTAATTTTAAAAAATCGTAAAGTTCCATTTTATTTTATGACGAAATAATTCTAGAAAATTTTTAATTCGATCGGCACAGTCATTAACGTTTTTGCAAATTTTAGCGTCAAAGCGGTTTTTGAAATTCTCAGCATGATCATCCAAACCATCAGCAAAACCAACATTTCCTTTCAATGCTAAGGCTATCTATAATTTAAAGAAAATTTTAAAAAATGGGGACAGACAACAAAACCTTGGAAATAACTACTGCTCTCAATCTGACCAAATCTCCACTCGATAACGAAGAAGGCTGGCCCAAGAAGAACATTTCACTCACATAACCTCCCAAAATGGCCATCATTAAGTTTTCCTTATCTGTATTTGTCCACGCCTGCTTAGTACCAAAGTTGAGAAGCGTGTGGCCAAGTAAGGTTTTCTCTTCTTTCAAAGTCACCTTAATTTGGAGGTTAGAAAAAATAAAAATTTTAAATTTACCTTTGTCACATCAAATTCCAACAAGAAAGCGACGTAACAATGTCCGCTTTCATGGAGTGCCAGCCTGTTCTTTTCTTTTTCACACAATGGGCCGGTCATTTGACTTTTTTCTCCAAAACACTCCAATAATAATTCATTTTGGAAAACATTTTCTGTAGTCGCGGCTAATTTTTCTTGTTCAGTAAACTTGACATCAAACTGGAACCTATCAAAGTTGAAGTTGCGCTTAAATATAAATGTATTAATTTTAATTAATATAAGGGGGCAAGATCAGAACTAGTATAATACACATTCGGTTTCGTTGAGCAGGTTTAGGAGAAATATCTAAAATTATCTTCCGAAAACAAAACTGGCAAAGTTACAAAACGCCGAAATTCGAAAAACTTTAGACTTCAACTTTGATAAGTTCCATTTTGATGTTAAGTTTACAGAAGAACAAAAATTAGCCGCTACTAAAGAAAATGTCTTCCAAAATGAATTACTCTTGGAGTGCTTCGGAGAAAAAAGTCAAATGAGCGGTCCATTGTGTCAAAAGGAAAAGGAAAGGCTGGCACTCCATGAAAGTGGACATTGTTACGTCGCTTTCTTGTTGGATTTAATGTGACAAAGGTAAATTTAAAATTTTTATTTTTTCTAACCTCCAAATTAAGGTGACTTTGAAAGAAGAGAAAACCTTACTTGGCCACACGCTTCTCAACTTTGGTACTAAGCAGGCGTGGACAAATACAGATAAGGAAAACTTAATGATGGCCATTTTGGGAGGTTATGTGAGTGAAATGTTCTTCTTGGGCCAGCCTTCTTCGTTATCGAGTGGAGATTTGGTCAGATTGAGAGCAGTAGTTATTTCCAAGGTTTTGTTGTCTGTCCCCATTTTTTAATTTCCTTTGAATTATAGATAGCCTTAGCATTGAATGGAGATGTTAGTTTTGCTGATGGTTTGGATGATCATGCTGAGAATTTCAAAAACCGCTTTGACGCTAAAATTTGCAAAAACGTTAATGACTGTGCCGATCGAATTAAAAATTTTCTAGAATTATTTCGTCATAAAATAAAATGGAACTTTCCGATTTTTTTAAATTAAAATTTATTCGATGGGCACTGAATAACTTAAAATTTTATTAAACGAATTTTTTAAAGATTTTTTTGTAATAAGAATTTTTCTTGTTTTTAAATTTTTTTTTTATTTTATTTTGGAATTTTAAAATTTACTTTTATATCTGTCAATGAACTTTTGTCAATAAATTTAATTTCAAAACCACATTTCCAATTTTTACCGTGTCAAACTAATTTATTTTTTTATTTTAAAATTAAATTAATTCCCCTACCATGAAAATAAATAAACAAAACTCAATTATAGTAAAAATAAAATTATTTTTATTTTTAAAAGGAAAGGGCACCGGAATATAAAAACAAAATAAAAAAAGCTATATTAAACCAAAGGCTATATTAAAGCCTATTTTTTTCTTATTTTTGCCTTAGTATTATTTTAATTAGTAATTTATTTATGTAAAAATAATTAGTATATTTTTTGAATGCTCTTCTTTTTGCTTTTTTCTAAAGTTTATTATCGAATCCTAAATATAATTTTCTATAGCCAGGTTGCTTCAGTTGCCCTGAATCTTATCTATTTTTTCGAAGCTTTTTCCTAGACCTCTATATTTTTTTAACATCGAACTCAAAATTAGTAAATCCTTTTGCTAACCCCTAATTTTTCTTTTTAAAATATTTTTCTATTCTCCGAATTATTTTTTTTAGGATTTTCTATTTTTAAAATTTTTCCCCAATTAATTTTATTCTCCCAATTTTACGGTTCTAGTAAATTTTCACTTTTTTTTCTAATTATCGGACAAAAGTCTAGTCTAAAATATGGGTTTTCTGGATTGGATTAGATAACCGGATTACCCTATTCCTTCCTACAAGTCGAATAACAAAACTAATTTTAAAAGGAAGTTTTTTTAAATAGTTTCTTAACTCATAGTTAAATTCTGACTCTTTATTTTTAAAATTTTTACTTACGTTTACTGTCCCATACAAAATAATTTTTCTAATCTCTGGTACTCACTAAATATCAAACTATATTTCACGTATAAGTTTCCAGAATTTTCTGCAAATTTTTGTCCTAAAATTTTTTTTCCTGTTTTCCTCCATTCAAAACACAAAATTTTCCCGTCTATTTAAAAATATTTAATAATTTTCTATATTTTCCCCTATCATTTTCCTTTTAAATTTTAATAGAAAAAAATATTCTTTTTAAAAAAGGTTAGCAAACATTGGAGAATTATATAGAAAAAAGGTTAATAATTATTTTTGCGTGTATTATCTACTTTTTAATGCCGTCATTCCAAACCCCCAAGAGTAAAAAAATTTTTTTTATTTTTCCAATTTTTGTGTTTACCCATTTCTTTTTAACTTTATTTTCGAAAAAATTAAATTTTACACGAAATATTGCTTTATTGTTTTGTTTTTAAAATTAAAAATGATTTTTAAAAACAATTTTTTTATTAAAATATGTAAAAAAGAAAATACAAGTCTCGTGAATAATTAACAACAATATTTATTTTTCCGAACTTGAGGGAGAGCAATTATTCGAGTTTTGGAAAAATGAACGTGCATTAGGGCATTAGATTAACAAATCGAGCAGATATTAGTCGAGAGAGGGGGGGGGTTATAATTCGAAATATTGTAGCTAATTTAAATTACTTTTCCTTTCTGTTAATTTTAACATTTTTTCAACCTTTCACTGGAGAGATTTTAATTAATTTCGTTATTCCAACCCCTAATTTAGAAATTTGACATAAAACAAATTTTTAACCTCTAGTATTCTTTTTAGTTTCTTTATCCTTTTTTTTCAAATCTACCTAGGTACTAGATGAAAAAAGATTTTTTGCCTCACTTTATTTTATTTTCGACTGTGCTATCTGTTTTTAATTTAAATTTTTTTGCCGTTTGATATTTTCTTTTCTCCGCTATCTTTCTTAAATTATAATGAGGTGTATTATAAATTGGAGATATCCTTTTAGACAGCCTCTAACTAAATTTAAAAAATTTGGTTTTTAGATTTGGTTGGGGTTGTCTAATCAGGCTACCTCCTATTTATGATACACCTTATAAAGGTTTACATATCTAGCGGGGATGGGCTGTCTTCCGCTTCCGCTTCTTAAAACGCAACAAACCTCATCCCTGGTACATATCTAGTATTGTGTGTATTTTATAATGAAGTTCACTTTGTATTTTAAAATTTTTTAAAAAACCAACAAGACATCATTTCTATTTTTTAAAAAATTCAAAAATTATTTATTCCATTTTCTTTTTTTTTATTTTAAAAATAATAAAAAAATTAATTTACATAAAAATATTTTTAATCAAAAACATTCTAGAAAAAATAATTTATTTTTTTTAAATTAAAAAAACTTTAAAAAATCCCCCCAAACAATTCCAAAAAAAAATCAAACACACTTTTATTATCACGAGCACTTTTATTTTCTTCCCTTCTAGGCACGCAAGAAGAGATTAATAAATTTTTATTGCCCCATTAATAATATGAAAAAATATATAAAATCCATCCATTAAATTAATTAATGAACAGTTGTTTGTTTAAATTTTTTAAATATTTTTGAAAAATGAAAGATTATTCAGTGTATTTTCTTTTTTTTAAATTTTATTTACTCCAATAATTCAAAAAAACTCTTGATTTTTTTTTCATTTGTGTTCCTTGAAATTGCAACAAAATTGAGGTATTTTGTTGTGATTATTGTTGTGGCTCTTATGAAAAAATTTTTTAAATATGATAATTGCTGTAGTAATCATTTTATGACATCGCGTAAATGGCATTAAATATTTGCGGATAAAACTTGCAGACTTTTGAAGCAACACAACCATTTAAAATTAGAAATATGGGGACTTAAACTTTTTTTAATAAAAGAGAATGTAGAAATAGACCTTTTTTGAAGTCTCACAAAATTTTTTCTATACCCGCAAGTTTAGTCCAAGTTAAAACAATGGTTAACCAAACAACCAAAACAATGGACAAATTATTGTTTTACCCCCAACATAGGCCACATTATTTTATGGGTAATTTTATAATTTCTTGTTTTAGCTTTGTTTCGAGTTTGTTTTATAAATCTTGATGGTTTTGGTTTAATTCTTAGAGTTAATTCAAATCATAATTAAACGATGTCCTTATGTCCTTATTCCTTATCATCATAATATCCTTAATGATGACCTTATTATTCTCGCAATGAATATCATAATAATTTTTTCTATCATCTAAACTAATCAAAACTCCCTTTAGTACTACATAATTTAAAAAAATTATTTAAATAATCTCTTTTTCTTTCTTCCTCTCCCCAAACTAATCCAAATATATTTTTATTTACATTATAAAAATAATTATATAATATAAAATTCAAATTTCCAGCTGTCACTCATTTATTTTCTTTCTCTCTTTTTTAAATGGCAACCAATAACAACAGCCAATATCAACATATAAAACTTTTAAATAAAACTTTTATTTTTAATGCCTGCTGTTTTAGTTAAAATATAAGGGGGAATTATAAGTAAATAATCCAAAAAATTAATTTTTTTTAAAATTTATTTGAAACATTTTTTTGGGAATTTTTCTTTTATTTTTTGTCACCTACATACACTCTGTTCCAAAATTATAACCGCACCCCTATTTTTCTCAATATTTCATGCCCCAATCAATTTTTCTAAAAATTTTTTTTAATAATCTTGTAGGGCCGAGGTATAAACAATATTTAATACTGAAATGGATTTTTTTATTTATAGCCTTTGAATTATTTACATAACTTTTTTGAAATAAGGGTGTTCCAAAATTCCTCTGGATCTGGATTCTGCTTCTGAATCTAGGCAAGTAAACTGGACAGGATTCTTGATCTGGATCCAGACAAAATCTAGGACGATCAAAAAATGCCTGTATCTGGACTCTGGATCCAGGAAAACTCTAAACTGAGGAAAAATCTAAACTGGATCCAGACCGATCTCTACTATTTAACTTCCAAAATTTACTTATAATTAAAATTAAATTCTTAAAAATTTTTTTTACGAAAACCCACAGCCAACTTTGAACCAAAATTGTA